CCATGCACAGGTCCACTAAGTCAAAATTGACCCAACAGTAATACTTTTTTTTCTTTCATCAGTCAAGATTTCTCAACCAGGCAATGTAGTTGGTATTCAGTTCATAGACATTTAGCCAGGAGTTTGGTAGAAAATGTTTTCTTGTCTGCATTAAAAAATAAAGTATATATACTATCACAAAGAACCAACCTCAGCTCTCCTAATACTAAAAGGACTTAATGAGATATAGGACAAAAAAGAAAGGTTATGTTTTGGCAAGAAGGAAAGGGCATTATGGTTCAATACCTTCACTTAACTAACCTTTATGTATGCAATTAACATTTAAAGAAAATACAGTTTTGGAAGTATTATAGAGTAATTGCAGGAATCCTAAAGTAGTTAAAAGCTTGTGGTCTGTTCAGAGAAATTCCTTCAGATAACACTGACAGTCATCAAAAAGTGAATTTGTGATGCGTGTGAGATAAAGGAAGGGCTCTGCTCATTTGGTGACAGTTAAGGCTTTTTTCTTTGTTGTTTTCTTCCTGAACTTCATCTCATTGACATTTTCTAGGTTGAAACTTTCATACTGATCCAGATTGATCTTTCAAATTCCAGTCCTTAAATATTTGAAAGAAGAGACTCAGCTGTAAGCAACAGCAGGGGTGTGGAGAAATGGAAGGCCTTGTGCCTTGAAACTTTATGGGGTATTTGCCTAACAATTTATAGTTTTTCAGAATCTAAATTGTACTTCAAAATTTGTAATGTGTAGTCTCTTCTATTATAAAGAGCCTTTCATATATAGCTCAGAGGGTGTTATTTCTTGCTCTTGAGTTTAGCTACTGCAGCCAGCAATTTAAACATATTACAAAGTGTGTGAATTACATGTTGTTTTTTTTTAAACCCACTACCATCAAGTTACTTCTGACTCATAATAACCCTGTAGGACAGGGTAGAAATACTCCTGTTGATTTCTGAGACTATTAATTCTTTATAGGAGTATAAAGGCTTAACTTTTTCACCATGAGCAGCTAGCTATTGGTTTTGAACTGCACACCTTGTTGTTGGCAACCCATTGTATAATCCACTACCCCAAATGTTTCTGGGGTCTGAAAATATTTCAAGAATCCTATGAACTAATTTTATCAACTATATAATGCCTCTGAGTTGTTTTGTTGATATCCTATTTTAAACCCTTTTACTAGACAACTCCTTTTTGTGGGATGAAGAATTTGGTGGTAGTTTCCCATGGAACATTGCTGGTGGTTTATTGAAGCTCTCCAGAATGTAGGGTGTTCTGTGTTGGTATAGAGATAAAAGTCTTTCTTCTGCTTTTTCCTATTTTGTAAAATACTTGATTGTCCCAAAACCCATAAGCATCATGTGGCTGTCGACTCAAAGAAACCCTATCAAGAATTTTGGGGATTGTACATCTTTATAGGAATAGATAGTCTCCTTGTTTTTTCAAGAATAACTGGGGTTTGAATTGCTGACTTTGTGATTAACTCCCTACCACTTAAGCCAACCTGTGTCGCGACCCCTTTGGGGCTTGAATGACCCTTTCACAGGGGTCACCTGACTCATAACAGTAGCAACATTACAGTTAAGAAGTAGCAGCGAAAACAATTTTATGGTTGAGGGGTCACCAGAACATGAGGAACTGTATTAAAGGGTCGCAGCATTAGGAAGGTTGAGAACCACTGACTTAAACCATAGTGCCAACAGGGATCATTAATATGCCTGATTTACATGTCCCCCACAGAAAAATCCAAAAACACAACAAAAACGTAATGCCATATAAGTCTCTTCTGACTAATAGAGACCCTATATTACAGGGTTACAAGATAGAACTGCCCCTGTGAGTTTCTGAGGATGTAACTGTGAAGATTGAAAACCAGCTCATTCTCTCTCACCACTGGTTAATGGTTTCATACTACCGAGTTTGTAGTGAGTAGACAAAAACATAACCATCAGGAATCTTAGTGTATTTGAGTAGAAGGGCACAGAATCAGTAATTTTCAAACAGCCACCCTTCACTTAGGACTTAGACATTTGTAGAACTTGGGCGTGGGTTCATTGGACCTGGAGTCACATATGAGGAAAAACATACTGTACTTTGAATCATTCTATTTCAAAATTTTAGGTTTTCTTATTGGGCCAAGCCTATTTTCTTGATACGTATCTTCTTTTAGATCGGAGAGTTCTCTCTCAGGAAGTTACTTAACTCCAGCAGACTGTAGGTGTTCCTTGGACTGTGCACATAAATTTCAAGCTGTGTCTTGGACCCCTTTATTTTTCTACTTTCTCTTGATATATTTTTAGTGAGTAGGGAAAGAAAGGTGGGAGCAAAATCATGATACTCTTCTCACCTCTTTGTATCTCTTTATCCTTTCTTTTCTCGTTGGAAATGCATATGAATGTCCAGTTTTATAGTACATCTTTGATTACAAAGTTAAGCAAATATCTTTAGGCACTGACTACCATAACTACTTGCAACATGGGATAATTGTCTTATTAAAGCAGTGAATGTTCTATTGTGCTGCATCTGTCACATATTAAAAAGAGTAGGTCTCCCTCCCCACAAAAAATCTAATTTGTAAATAGAACCTGATATGCATTGTTATATAAGCTCATCGCTCACTTGAAAAATGGTACTCAGAATTAGTAGACGTCCAAGTGCATGGACTGTGTTAAATGTTTCATGTAGCTGAACTGCGGAAGAAGAGAGATGTCACCTACCACTGTGGAGCCCTCTTCCAAAGATGAGTTAACAGGTTACCTACAGCTGGAAGAAAAACAAAGTAACACTAAGAAACGTTTCACGACCCGCTTTCAGCGATCTGGGAGGTCCCTTTCAATACTCTGTACCCCCAAGAGAACCATATGGGCCCTCTCCAGATTATTCCTGGAAGATTGATTTCTCAGCTGTATTGCCGACTGCAGTCACCAGCCTCTGCACAAGCCAAATTCTGCCCAACCATGGCTCATCCAAGTTCAAATATGGCAGAATTCCACAAGATTTTTGCAAAAGCAAAGCATGTAATCATCCTGACAGGGGCGGGTGTTAGTGCAGAGAGTGGGGTCCCAACGTTCAGAGGAGCCCTAGGCGAAAATGGCAAGCTCAGGACCTGGCTACTCCTCAGGCCTTTGCCTGAAACCCATCCTGGGTGTGGGAGTTCTACCACAACCGGCGCGATCTCATGCAGAGCAAGGACCCGAACCCAGGGCACCTGGCCATCGCCCAGTGTAAGGCGTCTGCACAGGCAGGGCCGGAGGGTGATGGTCATCACCGAGAACATCGAAGAGCTACACAGCAAGGTCGGCACCAAGAGCCTTCTGGAAATCCATGGTAGTTTATTTAAAACTCAGTGTACTTCTTGTGGAAACGTGGCTGAGAATTACAAGAGTCCAATTTGCCCAGCTTTATCGGGAAAAGGTGCAGCAGAACCTGAAACTGACGATGCCAGGATCCCAGTGGAAAAACTTCCCGGGTGTGAAGAGGCAGGGGGCCGGGGCCCGGGGCCTGCTGCCACCCCATGTGGTGTGGTTCGGAGAAAACCTGCATCCGGCTATACTGGATCAGGTGGAACGAGAGCTCGCTCGCTGTGACTTGTCTAGTGGTGGGCACTTCCTCCATGGTTTATCCAGCCTTCATGCTTGCCCCTCAAGTGTCTGCCAGGGGAGTGCCTGTGGCCGAATTTAACCAGCCCCGCCACAGACAGATTTAGGTTTCACTTCCATGGACCCTGAGGAACTCCGCTTCCTGAAGCCCTTGTCCCTCATGACTCGGAAACACTTTCTTAATCCTCTGGGGAGGGAAGAACAGACTGTGCATCTACCTGCTGGGCCACAAATGGAGGAGAAACAATCTTGTGAATGGTGAAAGTATTAGAAGATCTCACAATATCCTGTGATCCCACCGCTGGAACTCAACCTGTGGACAAGGGATAGAGGCTGAGAAGCAACAATCGCAAAAAGGTTTAGGAGTCAGAGATGGGTAAAGTTAGTGCGTGTTCTATTTGCTTTGAACTCAAATAAGGGAGACTCTGAAGCTGGGTTGGTTACTGGGGGTGGGGAGAATGTAATTAGATTGTCTTTTAAAAAACACTTAAGCTGGATGATATATTTGCCCTTTGGGGTGTTTGCTATTTGGGCAAAGAAAGAAGTTTATATAGGGGGTAAATATTGCTATTCAATCTAACTTTTGCACAAGGTTTGGTGGAAAAATTAAAAACCATTCGATGCAAAAAAAAGAAAAGCTTCACATACTGAGTTAAAATTTATCTTTAGACTTGAGATTAATTCCATACTTATTTTTTCAGAGTCAAATTGTAGAATGGAGGTCAAGAGTTTGACATATACAGAATTGATTTTAAAAATCATTTTAGTAATAGTATGCCTAATCTAAGTAAGTTTTACTGTAGCAGAATGCATTCAAATATCTGACTGAGTTTTTTCTCAGTATAATTTATGAAAAATTCTCACTCACAGAAAAATGAAATTAAAAACAAAAAGCTGTTAAGTAATTTCCACATATCAAAACTATTCTACAAAGATGGCAATACTACTTCAGTTTTTACTTTGCTTTTCATTCAGCAAGAGGAAATGATACTTAGTAATTAGAAAAATGAAAGAATTAGTTCTAACCCTATATATACATATTTTAAAATATTTCAGTTAAGTTCATGGCAGGACATAAAATAGAAAATTTGCTGTATGTTGAAGGCCAGCAGGTTAGTCAATTTTGGAATGACATTCATTTACTCCCAAGTGATCTTCTGTTTAAGATTTTGTACTATGATGTTTACAGATGAAACAATTCTCTGCTATTTTATCCTTGTTCCATTGTACTTAATTTGAGGTCCCTTTCACCATGGGTGGTAGGTTCTATATACTGTGACAGAACCATAATCAGATATCTACCAACTGTTCTAGTTCACCACTTGAGAGCTGTTAATGCATATGTAATATGTTATCTTTTTAATAATAAAATGCTAAATGCTTATATTTTCATTTCTTTTTAGAACCTTGTAAAGTACCTCCCTGAGCAGAAGGTACTCAATGAATTAGCACAGCTGAAAAATGAATATGATGACCTCTGTGAGCCTGAACAATTTGGAGTTGTGGTATGTATAAGGGTCCACAAACTCATATAGGAAGTAATATTTGCCTCAAAAAATGAGAAAGAGGACATTTCAAGTGTTGATTTATTTCATAATTGCCTGACTATATAATTTAATGTGTGATTGTCAGAGAAACAGAAACCATATGAATATATTTTAATTTACCATAACCCAAATTCAAACCCAAATTCACTGCCATCAGGCCAATTCTGCTCATAGGGTTTCTAAGGCTGCTGTGTTAATCTGAGTAGACTAGAGAAACAAATCCAAGGAGATACTCATGTGTATAAGAAAGAACTTTAAATATCAGAGCAATTGAATGCCGAGAAACCATCCCAGCCCAATCCAGATCAAGTCCATAAGTTTGATATTAGCCCATATGTCTGATACCAGTCTATAAAGTCCTCTTCAGACTCACGAAACACATGTAATGATTCCGAATACAGGAAGATCACGGGCCAGTGGGTGGACATTCTTGTGGATCCAGTGGCAGTGTAAGCATCTCAGCGGTGGCAGGGTTCTCCATGTGGCTCCTTCAGCTCCCGGGCACATTCCATGTGTCTTGTCCATAGGAATGTCAAGCAGGAAGTGAGCATGTGTCCCACTCCAGCAAGCTATTTATCTCCTTAGTGTCTCCAAATGAGGTCATCAAGCTGTCACTTGATTAAGGGCTACACAATACCCTTTCATCTTAAGTATCAAATTGACAACTGATTATGTAACTACCACTGCTGCAAACCCTTTCGCTTAGTGGAAAATTGAGAATTTAAGAGTTGCATGCAGCAAAATATCTCAAAATAATTCTTGAAATGTCTCTCAAGAACAATGCTGATATTCAGTTTATTAGTATGTATAATCTAGTATACATTTTTATATTGGATATTTCTTCTATTTTGATTTTGACATTGGAATGTGGCCCCTAATAACTTAGCTTAATGTCAAAATAAGAGCTAGAGAAATATGAAAATATTAGAGAGTCTTTTAACTGGTACATAGTATATCATAAAAGGTATAAGAATTTTCAGTTCCCTTATACAATGTTATTGATTGAAAGGTTTACATATAATGTTTCTGCTAGGTATTAAATCTAAAACATACATCCTGCTGTAGTGATTAGATCATTATTGGAGTGAATTATGATTTTTATTTCCTCTTCATGTTAGAAAATCTATTAATTATTAATTTATAGCTCTATATTTAATCGGAGTTCTCATCTATTCAAATAATTCATTAGGGAGAGTGGGCAGGGTAGAGTGGAAGATTCATTTATCTTCTTGGATACAAAGCCACTTTGGGTTTAGGTGTTCAATACAAGTTAGTTTCTTCTGTGAATGAATAGTTCCATTATAGTACTAGCTTTACTCTGTCTCCCTAGCCATTTTCAATCTACACACTAAATCTTTCAAATTTACAATTGAACCTGATATTGAAATTGTGTAGCTGCTTCATCCAAAAAATTATGTCCTTTTTAAAAGCGATTCATTCAAACTGATCTGATTAGGTTTTTTGCCATCTAAAAACCCTGATTAAAATGAACATGTGATATCTGGGACAGAACCTGATCCTTCTGAACATGTGTAATAATTTCTTGTTCTTACTTACAGTTTATCAATTATCGTTTAGCAACATAGGTTAGCTTATACTAATATAGATTTTTGTCAAATCCTTGCTATCAACGCATATAAAGATGTTTCTCTTTTTGAATTAATTAACTAAAATTGGTCAACTAAATTGGTGAGATGTTATTTACTTAGTTGCAACCCTTTACCATGATATTAAATAGTCTAATTTTCAAGACCCAAGGCCACATTTGAAGCCCAAGCTGCTTGGATTCGTATTGTGATTGAATCAAGGCTATATACCATCTGAGAATCCGGCTGTGTCATGATGGTTATGAGTTTTACAGTAGGTACACTACACAATTTCTCTGAAGCCATTTTTTTTCTGAATGCAGTTTATCTTAGAAGATGTATTAGTTTGCCAAGCAAGTCCTTCAGGAGGAATATCCTTGGTACCACACTGAGGAAATGAAGTTTGGGGACATAAAAAGCAATATACCTTCTGAACTTAAAGCAAAATAGAAAATGGAAGTGATTTCTTGCTTATGCACATAACCATAAATAATCTGGGGATATGGGTACATGAATAGCCTCCTGGCCCTTTTATCTCCTTTCACCGTCCTTAGCTACATATTTTAGGGTGGGAGGGTCGGGTGAGGAGAGGACACTAAGGACAGTTTGAAGTGGTTTATCCTATGTAAATAACCTCTGAGACATTACTTAATCAAAATGTCATAAGTCACAATGATTTTTACATGATTGTGCTTTAATCTTTTAGCTTAGAGCAATATAATATAAGTAGTAGTTAGTAGATACTTAATTATTGAATTCGATCATAGGACAATTAGGAAATCTATATGAGCTTGAGATTTCTTGAATATCATATTTTAAACCTATGACAGAATAAAATATGCTAAACCATATTTATTAAAGTCTTTAGTTAAGATACATTCACTATGTGTAGATGCATCCAAATGATTTTTAACCCTCAAATATATCCCAACAGTCTGCAGTTTTGACAGCTTTGGACTTAAAAGCATGAGTATTAATGAGAGACGCTCCAAACGGGTTTCTTTACCCTGCTTTCTTTTTTCCATCAATACTATTAGTATAAAAAATACAATTAGCATTTTCCTCTAAAAAGCTATATTCGTCATGTGATTTCTATTTCAAAGTCTATCAGTTTCCCCGAGAATTTACCAAATAAAACTCAAGCTCCGTAGCATTCTCATTCTGTCTCTCACTCTTGGGCTGTGATTTTCCCTCTTCCTTTTAGTGAACTGAGGGAATTGGTGTATCTTTATGTCATTTTAGTGCTGAAACTCAATGGGGTTCTCATTGCCATTTCAGCCATCATTTTACTTGCTCCTAGTCTGGTTTCTTTCATTTTCCCACAGTAGCTGTTCTATATCTTGTCTGCTCTCTTCAAATCTTCTATCCATCTTCCTCTCCCCATATCTTTTTCAATGACTCCAAACAACCTGTCCTTGGAAAGCACCCTAGTTCAGATCCACTCTATCTTATGAACCTACATTTTTAACTCTGGCTATATTGTTATTCTTCTACTCTCTGTCAAGCCTCCAAAAAAGGTATGTTTTAACACTGTTAGTAATATTATTGTTGTCATTGATTATAACAAATGCATTTTTGACTGTGTCAGATACTGTGCTATGCACTTTGGCATTTATTCCTCAAAACAAACCTAATCGTTTGGCTCTCTTGTCGTTATTTTTGCTGTTAATTGCCATTTATTCAAATCCAACTCATGGTGACCCCTCCCCCCTTGTGCATAAAGTAAAAGTGTTATATAGAATTTTCAAAGCCATAATCTTCTAGAATCAAACCCCCAGGCCTTACTTCTGAGGCATTTCTGAAGCACCAACTTTTCAGTGGCCAGTCCAGCACTGACCACTTGTGCCTCTCTCATCCTAGCACTATTAATAGTTCCATATTGTAGATGAGACCTTGAGGCCATAAGAGCCTGGATAACTGCCCCAAATAACATTGTAAGGGAGAAATGTGCGTGTCAAACACTGACAATCTTGCTTCATAGATTGTTTACAACCCTGTAATAACCTGGCATCTCTGTGAGTACATACGAGTTTGTATGTACATGTGTGTTATTATATGTGTGTCCCTCACACTCACTGCCATAGAGTTAGTTCTTTCTCTTAGGGGCCCCACAGAGCAGTGTTAAACTGACCCTGTGGGTTTCTGAGAATATAACTCTTCATGAGAGCAGAAGGCCTCATCTTTCTTCTGTGGAACCACTGGGAGGTGTGTGTAGAGTCCTATGATTGGTCTATCTATTGACCTCTGTTTTATAGACCATTATCAATGTCATACTTTAGGATTTATTTTTTATTTTATTTTTCCATTACATCTGCAATATGTCTTTGCCATCTTCAGTATGTCTCCTCAGCATCTCTACTCTGAATTCTTCAGAATAAACTCTTAAGCCTCTCCCTCTCTAAATGTGAATGAATGGATGTTTTAGAAGTGTACGAAGGTAGCATTTGAATTCCTCTAACTTCAGAAGTGAGAAGCACTGGGAGAATCAGCATCCATCCAAAGCTGATTCCTAAGAAGCTGATGTCAGAATACCTCTACCTTCGCACATTCTTCACCAATTCCAATACCATCCATCCTTCTCATGACCCTCTCTAGTTCTCCACTGAGTTCTATAATTGATTACAGGGGCCACACAGAAATCACAAACCATACTCACAATTATGGGTTTATTAGTGAATTAGGTAAGTGGACATAATTCAGAATAAGAGATTCTGCTGATACAGGTCTTCAGTCTGGAGAGCTCCCTGTCAGCCAGGATCATAGTCCTAGGCCTCTTAGCTTCATGGCCTATTTGAACAAGTGTAACTCTGCTGATCAATGCCCATTCTGCAAATAAATATTAACCCAAAGATGCTGAGGTCCAGATCTCTTAGTTGGAAAACCACTTTCCCTCAATTAAGTGCCTAGAGGCAATCCAACCTTACTAGCAAGCCTCTTGCCTGAAGGTAGTTAGCTTTCTTGCTTTTTGTGCCTGGGAGTCCACTTCTCCATTTCATTATCTTGCTTCTGTTGCCTCTACGTCTCTGTCCATCTCTGGCGTTATAGCTATCTGTCTCCTGAGTGGATGAGGTTTAGTCCCTGAATCTTGAGTCCAAAGGATAAGGCCCATTCCTGATTTTTCTTTGACGATAGTGAGATCCTCATGCTCCCTTTTGAGACAGGGTTCATGTCAAACCAACAAGTTGACAAAACTGAACCATTTCCACATTCAAGTGTCACTTACCTAATTTTCACAATCCCATGCTTATTTAGATTTGCTAATAATTATTAGCTCTTTAATTCCCATTGAGAGCTTTGTATACCTCACATTTGCATTGCCCTCAAAGGAGCCCTCCTGGCTTAGGGAGTTAACTGTTGGGCTACTAACTGCTA